ACCTTATGGCCCTCTACAACTACCTGAAAGGAGGCTGTAGTGAGGCAGGTGTTGGTCTCTTCTCCCAGCTAACTAGTGATAGGATGAGAGGCAATGGCCTCAAGTTGCATCAAGGGAGGTTTAGATTAGATATTAGGAAAAATCTCTTTACTGAAAGAGTGGTCAGACACTGGAATAGGCTGCCCAGGGAAGTGGATGAGTCACCATCCCTGGAGGTGTTAAAAAAACATGTAGATGTGGCACTTCGGGATATGGTTTAGTAGGCATGGTGGTTTTGGGTTGATTGTTGGACTTGACGATCTCAGAGGTCTTTTCCAACCTATGATTCTATGATTTCGTCTGCATTTCTGTGCTCTGGAAATGGCAACTGGTATCAGTGAGATACTAACAAGCAGCTAGAAACAACTAACATCTCAAACGATCCCAAGCATTTGCAGAGCGAGTGTGTGTTTAAACCCTCGTGACTAGGTTTATTTTAAGGTGAATGATGCACAGGATCATGCAAAAGCCACCAAGTATTTGGTGGAAAAGTAGAGCAGTATTCACAAAGATATAGATCAGATTACTCTCCAGCACCAATACAGAAAATGAATACAACTGAAGGTATTTTCCGAACAGGCCAGATTACAGATTTCTACATAGATCTAGTTAGACAAATAAGGTGATCCTGACCTGGAAGTGGCAGAAAATTCACTTCAGCTGTTGCTTTTGTTCAAACCAAATACTGGCCAATACTAATTAGGAAAAATAACTGTAATTTCTGCTGATATAGAAAGAAAGTAACCCATTAAGTAGCAATAATAATTGCTTGACATTGTCATAAGCAGACTGAAATGCAACTACCTGTATTACAGTATCTCTAAGTGGTTAGAGCTGATGATGTACACTGTGAATTTCAAAGGCTATCTCAGGAGTACATTGCTAAATAAAATTCTGTCTCTACTATAGTAAATTTCATGACTTTAAGAGGGTGGCATTTAATAATAAATAATTTCCAACCTGAAGCTAAGCTCTTACAGTATGGAAGATCAGTGTATCTCTTTCTCATTCTATGTTTCCACAGAAAGGGAAGTCCTTCCCTCCAGAGCTCTTATTTGTCACTCACACACAGCTATACTCTGGAAGCCATTAGCTGACTGCGGAGGGCAACAAGAGAAAATACAGACCACCCTTACTCACCTACATAGCATAAACCCACCTGCCAGTCACTGCAAAGACTGAAGGATAAGGGAACTGGATCTACTTGCCTAACAACCTCTTCTGCATCGAGGCAGGTGGTGATGTAGAAAGAAAAGGAGACCCCATTCTTGAAAGCCCTTCTGGCAAGTAAAGAGAGGCTGGATGCCATGAGAGAGGGATGAAATGATGCATTTTTGTCTCCAACATGAGGAGCCGCAGGGCAGAAAGTATCACTGTCGTATACTTGCTTCTACTGCAAGACTGTAAAAACCCATGGCTTACTGCACAGGGCATACCGTGGAGCGTAAGAGGACAATGCTCTCCCCAGACAGCCACAGATCTAAATCTGCAAGTTCTACAGGTGTTGATTAACGTTCTAGTATACGCATAAGCTTAATAAAAATATTCATGGTTTAAGATGCTCATCTCATGACTACAAGTAGCCCAGTCACATGCTATGGTCTCACATACAGTCGAGCCTATGAAGTGCAGTGTCAGCTGATTTAACTCTTCTAAAGTGCACTTTTAGCACAAGGCAAATATAAAAGGTTTTGACTTTGCTCAGTCTACAATTAAAATGCCTTAAATTAGATCACATTATCCCACATTTAAAGTGTAGGAAGAACACAGGGATGGACAGTTGCTGTAAGTCAGCTGAAAAGTTAGAATGTTTGTCTAGCAAACATCTAAGCCACAGAATCATGACAGGGAAGACAGGCCACTCAAGTAGCAAGAGAGAAAGCACACAAAGAGAAAATGGTAGAAGAGACTGGAAATCAGAAAGTTTTATGATAAAGGACATATGGAGGGCACTGGATGAGGCAAGAAAGGGCAGGAACAGGGATGAAACACCCAGCAAGTGCTGTTAAATACCAAATCGATCACTCAAATGAGGAAGAGGAAAAAATCAACAAAGAGGAAGTGGGCCATCTCCCTTGTAAAACTGTTAACCACTGTAACGCCACTTCCGCCTGCCTGCAGACAAGCCCAGGAGAATGCCAAGATGAGCCTCGGCACTGCTGCGGATTGTCTGACACGTGCTCCTCAAGGAAGGAAACGCAGCAGACTGACATCAGATGAAACGGCGCGCTCTCTGTCTTAGAATGTATTTGCATGTCTGCAGCGCTCAGCACAACCTCTCAAGAGAGCAGAAAGACAGTGTTCCTGAGAATATGCCAGAGCTCAAAACCAGAACTATCACGTCTTTCAACAGAAAATCAGTGCTCAAAACTTACCCATTAATAGAGTGGAATATTTTATCATATTCTTCATCTGAAAGATTTAATCTGAAACACCGAGAAAATAGTTACAGAACACATATGAAATATAGCTTTTTAACCACAAAAGTATCATTGTTATTGAACAGAAACACAGGACACAGAAAATATGTAGAAAGCATGCTTTAAAAGAATAAAATAGTCCCAAATCAAATGAAATATTTCAGTTGAAACAGCTCAGTAGAGACTGAGAATCCACAAGCTTGAAAATACTGCCCTGTCAGGTACAGTTCAGTTAGGCACTCTGAGACCCCTTTGCAGACACTTGTTAAATCTAACATTTACATGAATGGCATGGTTATTATTTCCTGCACAGCAGCAATTCCGGTTTCCAATTGGCTCCAAGAAGGGCAGAGCTGCAAACAGTGAGTCACACCCATTTTCCAGTAAAGATAAAGTTGAGAGGTGGAAAGGTGAGAAAGACCTAAGCATCAGCAAAACACCAGCAAACCAGTATGACAGCTACTCTCACGCAGGCAGCACTGATACACTGGGTAGGTCCAAAGCATCCGGCTTTGCTACACCTAACTTAGTTGCCAGAACCGGATGCCTTCCATGCATTGATGAAGCTTCTGGTCAGCAACCGTTCCAAAAGCTCCACCAGCTACGTGAGGAACACTGGCTTCTAGTTCAGGCACTTAACTGGTGCCCTTATTGGACTGTGTAGATGCATCCTATAGTGATTTTCTGCAGCCATCTTAGTATCGTTTTCAACTTCTGACAATTATCACTTTAACACCTGACGTTAGTGCATTTACTATTTTATAGCTGCTGACAACGCAGCATTGTCAGTTCCGTTACTTACTCTGCTACTTTATAGCCAACAACCAAAATACAACAGCACATGGAATCCATAGTTTGAGCAGAACTGGACTTTGATGGCTTCAAGGACTTCCTCCATTACTTGAATTCTGGGACTACAGAATGCTGACAAAAGATAGCATGTGTGTATAAATAGATATCTATGTGTGTTTGCGGGGCACCATTAATTAGACTGACCATAGCCAACTTTAAAAACCACAGATACAAACCGTGGAAGGTAATTTTACAGGTTAAAAAAAGGAGTATTTTTCAAATACAGGTTATCATGAGAAGAAATGTTCAAAATTACATGCTCCAGTCTGCTTTTATTCTGATTTATAAAACAGCGTGCAAATCGTGGACTCTCTGAATTGCCTCTGAAGGGCTCTAAACCCTCAGCAAAGCAGCACAACTGCCTTTCGTGCCCCTAAGACTACACCCTGACGCCAAACAATCATCACCCACTTGTAAGGATGTAAACACCTACCTTATCGGCACAACTCGGGCACCAGCAGATTCCAAGAACTTCACATAGGAAGCCGCAATGTAAGACCTTCCGAATTTGTGGAACTTCTTG